TATATATATATATATATCCTCTTATATATAAGCCAACAAGAAAAGGACCAACAATGCAATACTTAATTGTACATGCTCTGTCAGATATACTGTTGCTAAGTGCACTATAAAGTTGGGCCTTTCTTTTATCCTTTTAATAGTAAACATGAGTATAACTCTTCCTTTTACATGTGTACTGGTAATTTTCTTTTCATGAGATAAATTCATTTCTCTTTCTTCCCTCATTCATAAATAAAAATAAAGAAACTGATTCATCTTCCTTCTTTCCTCTAGTATCTCACCGGATGTTATCTTCATTCTCCTCTCAATCGATAATTTTCTTCCTCCATCCTCTTAACTAAGATTTTTAGATGAATGATGAGTGTATATAACTTTTTTACATGATTTCTCTTTCTAGAATTATACAATGTTCATCTTAATGATTCTCAAATCTAATTCGTTCTTTTTCTAATATTGAGGAATTTATGTTCAAATTCGAACTATTTATATTTTTGAGGTTTTAAAAAAATTTCTTTATTATTGAACTTTTATTGTCTGTAATGGTCATTTGTTTTTCGGTCATTTGTTATACTTATTCATGTTTGGATTTAGGTAGTGAGATGCAATTTTTATGGATGATTTTGAATCCAAACTCAAAGATAATGGACCATTTTAGATATTTTCTCTTCCATTTCCTTTTCAGGTTAAGAGTTGGTTGGTGCAACAATGGTGTTTGCTGATATGCTTGAACCAAATAAAAGATTTTTCAGTATTTTTACTTGTAGATTTTCTGCAAAATATTTCTCAATCAATTCTAACGATTTTGATTTTGTATTTTTTTTCTTTGGCTTTTAATGGTATCTAAGTTGTTATGATAGAAGATAAATGAAGATTATTATAGTACTTTTACATAGTAAAAGATACCTACTTTTCTAATAAAACTTTTTGTGTTTTAGTGATTGATTGAAAAAGCATTGGCATATTTGATGAGAGAAGAGGAAAATTTAACAAAGATATTAGAGATATTGGAGTACAGACGTCACCCTTGACAATGTTGGCTTCCTTCCCTTCATAGCAAGGCGATGATGAGTCCAATATGGCTACCAATTAACTGGAAAAATAAAGGGCTCACCTGCTCAAATTTACTAATAATGAGTTAAGGTATCTATAGATTTTTAAAATGAATTTTATTATAGGCTACACGTCTATGTTGCTTGAAGTTTGAACTCTTTAAAAATGTCATTAGTTTTGTGTTGGGTTCTATAAAAGTAGAGTATTTTTAGAGAATTCAACAGGGTTCTCCAAAAGTAGAGTATTTTTAGAGAATTCAACATCGATGGTGCATGAAAAGTGAAGAGTCCATGCAACTTAGTGCATAAGCTATACACTGCTCTATAAGAGACTATTTATTTCTATTCTTATGAAACATACAGGGAGTATTAACTTGAGTTTGTTGGTCAATTTGAAAGACTTGTTGGTGCTATTGCAAGAAGTATGGATGCAATGTTCTGAATGTCTGTCGATAGTAAGTAGTATTTTTGTATTTTCAATCTTTTTGTGCTATTGAGTTGTATATATACATTTATCTACATTATGTTTTTCATCTTTGAACTGCAACATCAAAGTAGTTCTTCTTTATGTCGTGTGTATTATTTATTAAATGTAAGAATTATAAAGGACTAATTTGAGGAATTTTCAATTGATTAAAATGAAACAAACAAAGGTGTCCTCCAAGCAGTAGCTGAAGAGAACACATTTTCTTTTTCAGTTAAATTTTTAATTTACTATTACTTAGATATGTAATTTTTAGAATTTATTCTCTTCCCTTAACTGAAAATCCATTATAACAACCTAATTTTTTCCTTGGCGGTCATGACTTGTCATATGCTCTTTACTTCGATAAATGACATATTGGTGTGAAATGAAAATGTTGATAGATTACTATTTGAAAGTGAATATAATTAGGTAAGTTAATTTTCAAATTTTAGTCTTTAGACTAATCAGACATCTCTGATTGATTTCTTTATACTGATATATTTACAACTAATTTGTAGCTTCGATTTAATTTTTATGTTTTGACCAAACATTTGGAATGACAATGTAATAGGTTGCGCTAATCATATGTTAATCAAGTTAGGTCAAAATCACAACATAAGAAATTTAGGAAGTCCTACAATCTCCAAAAGTAATGTCGTTATATGTTTGTCTATTCAGCTCCTCACGAATCATATAGACTTCTATATATTCTAATGATTTCTTATTTTATTGATTATGCCTAAATCAGAGAGTGATCTTCAAATTTTAAGAATGATCGCACACAAGTTTGTTGAAGGAGACACACACTGTGAGTAATTTGAGCAAATCACGTATGCACACAAATTCAGCTAAAAGTAGTGAGTACTTTTTCTTTTCTTTTTTCTTTTTTCTTTTTTGGCTGAGAATATATTAGTAGTAGTACTTCAGTCTGCTCATATTCTCCCCCATTTGTTATGCTTGGCTTTCTTTGTTCTTCAATCTTTCAAACTGAAATATTTATTGATAGATCACTAGTTCTTTGTATTTAGTGTAGTTTTTTAATTCTTAAAGGTAAGGAGAAAGTTATAGTTATGTTCCACCATTTTAGCCCATAATAGTTATTTGAGGAGGCAAAGCATAAGTAATGAATTAGTGGTGATTGAATTGATTAACAAGGATAATAAAAACTACTGCTAATGTATAAGTTTTCTATATTTTTTTGTTCTCTCTACTAACGTATAATTGATGGTCCTGTTATATTCCATTTACCTATTTGTTCCAAATTAATATGTTTCTTATTTTAGTTTTGATGAGTAAGCAAGTTATCGACCATTGAGTTGGTTAGCAGTTTCAATCCGATATGAGTAGATTAGGATATGTTTATGTGAAATGCTCATTTGGATTTATAGATATGCTTATGTACTTGAATTTTTTTATTTATGATGTGGAGTTCTTATTCTCTACCCGAAATGAGTGAAAGTTAAAATTTTCGTATTTTCATTGATTTTTCTTGAATTTCTTGTTTGTTCTTTTTCGGGTATGGGTGAATTAGAGCGGAGTGGTTGTAAAGGATTAATATGTTTGACTTTACTGGTTTGGGGTAGAGTTTAGTTGATTTAATTGATTGATGGGTTTTTTGTGAGATTTGCGCCAAGTAATAAAAGATGATAAAGAGACCTTTTCTGAGTTTCGTGTCGACTAGTGAAAAGGTAATTTGCGTTGTGTAGGTTAGGCACACTCGTGAATTTGAAAGAAGACTTGGTGTTAAAGAGGAGAAAGGTGTGGTGTTTAAGTGGAGGAATATGTAGTAGGCGGGCACCTGGTTTAGAGATTTATTGGTGATAAGATGAGTTGGATAAAGAAAACATTATTATGGTATGATTTTTGATCTTTTAAGGGGTGGGGCAGGGAGGGAGGTGGAGGTGGGGAGGACAAAGAAGCTAAAGTTTTGACCTTTTTAAACTATTGATCGAGTTTTGTTGTAGGTTGTCCTAGAAATGCTATTACTAAGTATATGAATTCAACATGTATAGTTTTACCTGTGTTGAAGAACTTCTCTGCCATTTGTCTCATCCATTTGTTCCTTTGCAGGTAAAAGATCCTTAAAATGGTGACTTTTGCCAAATCGAAGAATTCTTTGAAGCGCGCTGAAGGTTAGTGGAGTAATCTTCATTGTTTCAGCAATATCTTTCACGGATAATACCATAACTCATCTATTCAGAAGCACCAAATCCTTTAGTTATTTTCTATTAACTTCAAGTTGCTAACTATTGTTCAGTAACATATCAAATAATGTTTTCTGGAACTTTCTGAGGTACAAAATAAATTTTTGTTGATATTAATTTGTGGGTTAAACTAATCACTTCGATTTTGCTAAATCTAAACAGGAAACAAATTTTGCAATCATCTTGCTTTGGTGATGGTGCGAGAAAATTTGCGAAAGTTATGCTTTTTCGGTTCCATTATTCGAATGATCAAATTGTCCAAAACAGAAATGCATCTGACATCAACATAAAGTTAATATGGCTTTGAATTGCCAAACGAGTTTTGAATCAAAAAGTATTGTATTAGATGGCTTATCTTTGATCTGTTGGAAAAGAGCATGTTATATTATAGAAGATAAAGCATCATGTATTAATTTGCAAGAAAAAAAATACTTAATATGAATCACTCAAAGAAGCTTCTTATTCATACTTCCAAGTTCTAATGATTTTTTAATATTGATGTGATGTTTGTCAATAGTCATAGCCAGCACAGGCCATTCACATCTATATACTATCTATATAAATACATAAATAGATAGATAGGTAATTAACACTCAATTTTAACCAATTTATTCAAACATATTTTTGAAACATGTTACGAGTTTAAAAATCTTAATGGATTTTGTCTAAAATTATATATTATAATATCGCTAATTTATAAAATTATCAGTTATTATATATAGAGAGAGTTAACACTTAATTTTGACCGACTTATTCAAACATATTTTTGAAACATATTTTGATTTTTAAAATCTTAATCGATTTTGTCTAAAATTATATATTATAATATCACTAATTTACAAAATTATCAGTTATTATTATTGAGTTATTTTTATTATTATTAAATTAGTATATTTATCGATAGTTAAATTCAAAATAATTACTTTATTTAAATATTTTTAAATTTAGGCGTGGTTCATTTATACGAAATACTTTAATACATGTTATAATTTATTAATTAAATAGCACTTCTTTAGTCTCCCCTTAAATCATTTAAATCATAATCTCTTTTGTTCAATTTGTTTAATTCATAGCCCTCTTTTAATCCAATTTTATTTCATATCAATTATGGCTATTTGCGTATTTCAATTATAGCCTTTCAACACTTCTCAATTATAGCATATCTGATTCAATTCAATTTTGAAATCCCCATCCTTTAATTTCAACCATTGATCATCCAAATCATCAAATCTTGATCGTCCATGTTATTCAAACTAAAGGCTGAGATTAAATCTTCATTCTTTTATCTATATTTTGAATAAACCAACAAAAGAACCAAAACCCTAAGCTAACCATCTTTCTTCATCTTCCTCTCATCTCCTCCTCCCCTATCTCTACCTCTCCTCTATTCTCCTACCATTTCAGGCGAAGCAGCGAACGTCGCCGGCCAGCGAGCAGACGCGAAAATCAACCTGCAATTGGGCGCCACCTACGAGTCATTCTCCTCGCCTACAAGCGAAGCCCGCACCGGCCAGAAGCAGCGCGAGAAACAGCTCCGACCGACGAGCCTCTTTCTCTCTTCTCCTCCACTCCAGTGAGGACGACAACAACAAACAGAAGCTCCAGCTGCTTGCAGCCAACTCTGGCGAACCCCATCGAAGACGACAACAATAGAGAGACCCTCAAATCTCCATTCCTCTCCTCTTCGGCGAAGTTCTAGTAATCCAGATTTTTGATTAATCATCATACATACATAACAATACTCGTAACAAAGCTAAATTGAAGTTTACCTGGAGTTTACATGGTCCAACAATTTCTCAAACACGTCTGTAAATAACTCTAATATTATAACTCTAAAACTATTCAAATTTATTTAAGCTCTAGTTATATGAGACTGGCAAAACTAGATTATCAAACTTGGAATGGAAGAAGAACTAATGTCCGTGAATGTAATGTAAATTTATTAGGTGTGTAGACTCTCTAGAGAAAAATTAACTCTTGACTCACTTTACCTTTATCTCAATATGAAACTGGCATTCTGAAACAATAGAGTTCATTCTAATTGCCAACAATCTTTATATGGAAACAAGAAGACATACTAATTGCCAAGTAATTTGTGACATTCATCAAGTCATCTTATCCAAGAGTCAGTTCTATGGAAGTTGGTGAACACTCTTCTGCATTTATTTTCTATAAAGAGCGTCTTTGTTTGAATGATATACAAACGCACCACTAGATAAAACAATCAAGAAACCTCAGAATTAATAAGTGGAGCTTAGGTATTAATAACCATGTCCTATTGGAGAACCATTCAAGTCAACAAGGCATTTAGTCACTCCTGTCGATGTTATGTGTGCACATATGAAAATAGTAAGACTGGATGAAGTAGTAGCATCAAGTCAAACCATTTTACCTTTGAAGTATGGAAACTACTAACATGCGCACATAGATAAGGACTCAGCTTTTGACCTCCTCGATCGCACAACATTTCAGTAACTAATTTCAGCATGCTGCCATAAAAAAGAGACCTTTAATCAATAAGACAATATTAGTTATGTATAAGGTGTTTACATGTCTAAAGTTCAAGTACAATTATTTTCTATAATGTGTCTGTGTCCATCTAGTATTGATACTTAGCTTTAATAATTTTGTGATAATTTGTTTGTGCCCATCGAGGGTTAACTTAGCTTTAAATTAGGTGATAATGTATTTTCTTAGCATAAGTACTAACACTTGTTGATTCTATTGATAGTAAAATTGATTAATTTGTGTCCATCTAGTGTTGACACTTAGATTTAAATAAAACAATGCCAACGTTTGAAGGTCGAAATATAATAAATAAATAAAATAAAATAAACAACACTGACTTCCAGAAGTGGGAATGTTTAAAGTAAAAAAATATAAAATATAATACCGACCTCCAATGATCAAAATTTAAAAATTAAGAAAAATAAAAATATATTGATTTCCAGGGGTCGAAAATACTAAAAATTAATTTTTAGAGATTAAATATTAATTAATACCAACCTCTGAATGTCGGTGTTTCAAAATATAATAAATAAATATTTTGACATCCTGAAGACAAAAATAATAAATATAAAATAAACAAATATATAAAAGTGACCTCTAGAAGTTAGAAAATAAATAATGAATTTTCCATCTTAAAATTAAAATTGACCTTGGTCGGTATTTACTGTTTGTTAGTAGTGCACCTTGTTTGCTCATTTAGGTTTCATTTTATCTCACAAGTCTGTCGCCTTTGGTGATGAAATTTAGCTCGCGTTTTCACATTCGGAGGATCAATGATGTCTTCCTTCTTCGCCAACTTGCCTTGATCTTTTATCATTAAACACCATAATTTCGATGGAGTTCATACCCATTGGGTGATACACCAATGGTGTTAGGCGACTCTCAGCTGGGAGTCCACACTCTTTTCAATGTTTTGACCTAGATTTATTTTTGCCTTGTCATTTAGTTTTTATAGTTGTGATATCATCAAATAATGACATAAATAGGCATTGAAATCACTATTTTGTTGAATTAGAAGGGCCTCAAATGAGTCAAAATCTCAGACTCATAACTCTTACAGTATCATTGACTAATGACTAATGAATAATTTCTAAACAAAAAAATCTTAATAATATCAATATAATATATACATATACTAATTTAATATCAGTTAAAAAAATTATTAGCTTTTATAATATATATATATATATGTATGTATGTATCTTGGGCATCTATCATAATTTTTTAGGGGACATCAATGAAAGGGGTATATATTTTTAATTAATTTATATTTATAGGAAAATTGCTTAGTTTCCTCAAATATCAACCACAAAGGCTTTTAGGGCTTGTTTGGAAAGCTACTTGGTAATTGTAATTTATATAATTATTAGGATAATAATTATACACCCTAGTAATTACACCGACTTTTGTTTGCCACAATGTATTACACATGTACTGTTTGGATACATATTATATTACACAATAAGAAACTATATAAACGATATTAAATTAAATATTTAAGATATATATATTGTCTTTTGAAAATATATCAATTATAAACATATATTCTTAACTAATATTACCAAAACATAATTGATTTATATTTTTCAAATTAGTATATTTCAATTGAATTAATCATAAAAATTAAAAGTACAAGCTTAGATTTATATGAATATCATGAAATACATGTTTGACAAAAAGATTGATATTATAAAACAAATGAAAATCAAAATATAACCTAAGTTCTAATTTTTTTTAGGGATAATGTCCAAGTACCCCCTCAACCTATGCCCGAAATCTCAGAGACACACTTATACTATACTAAGGTCCTATTACCCCCCTGAACTTATTTTATAAATAATTTTTTACCCCTTTTTAGCTTACGTGACACTATCTTGTGGGCCCAACGATGGTTGACTTTTTTTTCGAACTAGTGCCACGTAGGCTAAAAAGGGGTAGAAAATTACATATAAAATAAGTTCAGGGGGGTAATGAAACCTTAGTATAGTATAAGTGTGTCTCTGGAATTTCGGCATAAGTTGAGGGGGTACTTGAGTATTTTACCTTTATTTTTAATAAAAAATCACATAATACTCTTATGTCAAATTTCAAATAACATACATAAAATATGATTTAGGGTGTGTTTGGTATGAAGGAAAATGTTTTTCTAGAAAACAAGTAGATTTTGAACTTATTTTCTCATGTTTGGTTGGTTAGTAGAAAAAAATTTCCGAAAATAATTTTTAGTGTTTGATTTATGAACGAAATATATTTTTGAGAGACATCTTTTATTTTTACTAGAGCAGAAAATAATTTATGAAATTGAAAATATTTTTTAAAAATAATTTTATTTGGGGTGTTGGTGGGGTGGGGGAGTGAAAAAATAAAAATTTGAACTTTATAGCATTTTTAAAAAATAATATTAATTTTTTTAAGGGGTTGGGGGTGGGAGGGTGGGTAGGGGGGGGGTTAGGAGTTTAAAAATAAAAATTTAAAGTTGAAAATATTTTTAAAAAGCAAAATTATTTTTTTGGAGAAGGGGTGGGGTTGGGGGGGGGGGTCGGTGATTTTTTTTAAAAAATGATTTTTTTTAAATTGTTGTTTCCCCCCAAAAAATGTAATTTAAAACTGGAGACGAGTTTTGGAAAATGTTTTCCTTAATTTTTGAAGGGACCTTAATTTTGAGGAAAATGAGTTGATTTGAAAAAACATTTTCCAAAACTTTTGTCCCAACCAAACATGAGAAAATTAAAAAATATTTTCCTTTATACCAGACACTCTTAAAATAAAAAGGAAACGCAAGTCTATAACCTTACTCAACAATAAATTCTACTTTAATTTAAAAATTTAAAATACAGATAAAATTAGATAATACAAAAGATTGCATGAAATCAAATAAAATATATAAAATAAACTTTTAAGAATAATAAAAAAAAAGAAAGAAAACAGAATTGGAAAAAAAAGAATAATGAATGGGCCTAGAGGCCGAAAGGGGAGGGAAATGTTTCCCGCCATTTTGTACTTAGACCCATTTACCCATACTCATATAGCGTTACTGTGTTTAAGGAAACTGATAGGAAAGGATGGAAGCGGTAAGATCGCAGCGAAAATCTTTGGTATCGACCGGCGTCGGTTCAACACTTCCTCTCTATCGCTCTGCCCCTCCACTTGAAGTCCGTCTTGAAGATTTCGAGCTTTACGCCATTGATCGCCTCCGAGGTACTCACACTATAAACTTTCAGATCTCATTTCCTTTCTTTGCGCTTACTAATTTTATTTTTCTTAATTCAATCCAGTTCTTAAAGGTATTTCAGATGCTTTGTCTAGAGGAAAGAAACCCGATGAAATGGAGAAATTGGTAACTCTATTTTAGTAGTATATTTTATTTCTTTCTTCTACAATTGGATTCATCTTACTGCTTTCAAAATTAGGTGTTGGATTTGTGGAAAACAAATATGAGGCATCAACATTCATCTGAGCTCCTTAATAAGGACATAATTTCACATTTTGTTTTGCGACTTGTTTATTGCAGGACGTGAGTACCATCTTTTTGCCTTTATCCATTTTCCATAATTCTAACAATCCATTCTTTAATAGATATAACTTAATCTTTTAGGGAGGAGTTAAGAAAATGGTTTCTTTCAATTGAAACTACCTTATTTCGTTACCGTTTCCGCGATGAACCTCCTGAAAAACAGGTTTGCCACATTTTCTTTTCCTCTCACAACATCTTTATACTTATTGTTTGAAATATAATAAATTTGGACGCAGAGAGCGCTAATGGCAGATTTTGATCTTCCATACAAAGCTGTAACCATTGCTGAATACGAGGTAAATATTTTAAAAAGATTTTTCTTCTCTTAATACCACTACATTGAAGTTTTACTCTTCGGCAATATATTGGTGATGCATATTTTACGTACGCCTATCTTGCTTATGATGCAGAGTGTAAAGGAAAAATTGAACCAAGTTGCACGCGCCATAGGCCAACCTATTACAAGTAGTATTTCTCTTTTGTAATTCCAATCGCGAGCGTCTATTTTGATACTATTTAAGTCATTAACTTCATGATTTTGATTATTTGCAGCTGATGCTATCTATTACAAGGTATGCTCTTGACTTTTGCAATGCGTAACCCCCCTGGTAAAAGAAAATGGAAGTAATAAAGGAGCCAATAGCTATGTAGCTTGGGCCCCTTTAAAATATCTGTTGCACCCAAGTAGATCTGATAGGCTTTGGGTGTGGGATTCGCACCAAATTCGGTCAACTTATTTTGGGTACTTTGGTTACATCTCAAGAAATGTAGACATCTATTCATATAAAGTATGAACACCTTGCTATACTTGAGATTTCTTATGAGTAGAATATCAGATATTTATAATGTATTAAATTTATTAGTTTTAGCTCAGCAACTGTTAATTGATTCCATACGTATGTATAAATGTCATAATGCTAATTTATTCGCCGTACCCCAGCATCCTTACCCACTCTGAGATTCATACCTCCGGATACTAAATTTTATGTAATGAAGAACCTAAAATCTAGTTCTGCATCAGTTTACCCATACTTAAGCCTGAGCAACACCAGCCAAGACAACAATAGGTCTGCATGAACATCTATGTAGAGGAGTGCAAAAGAAAGATGTCGTTGACCATATTATACTTGCATACTTCCATTTCAGAATCGAAAGAATTGTTGCCTAATAGCTACATGTGTATGAATCGACAGATTAATTTGCTTAAGAAACTTCTTTGGTTTGACCAGCATGCTTGTTGGGGATTGTAAGAAATAGAAGTGGCTACGATTTTGATGTAGACCTCTTGATGTGGCTGAACATTTGTCATGATTGGCTTAGTAGGAACTATAAGACAGGTTGTCAATTGTATTATGCTAGGAAAATAAAGCTTAAAAAAGGACTCTGTTTATCTTGTTTGAATAAGATTTTGCTTTATGAGGTTCTGGTTGAGCTTTCTCTTATATGATTTTGGTTTTAATTACTCAAGGTTCCATTTGAGGAGGTGCCAGAGCTTGTGGCAGGTCGACGAGTATTTATTCAAAAAGGGAATGCATATATCGCCATGAATCAGGTAGTTCTTTGTATTTCTATGGAAGCTGTTAGAATATGAATAAATATATAAATCCTACTTAGAATAGACACAAGAATAGGAATCCTAAATGGAGAAAGAGTCATAGGAATAGGAATCCTAATTTGAAAAAGGAGTCCGATGTAGTGTCTATAAATAGGGTCTCAATGCAATAATGTAGATACACAATTTCAATAATATATTTCTCCTATATTTCTCAAAGAAGCATCCAAATGAATATGTTGATATCAATATACCAATTCCTGTGACATAGCTTATTCTTGCAGGTGGTTTCACTAGTAATCACACAGTTTCGGAGTCATCTTTCGAAAGCACTAGTGCTGACAAACAGGTTGGTTGCCCCAGTTTTGGTCCTCATTGAAAGATGAGCATACCCATTCTTACATAAGCAACATCTTAAAAAATAACAATTATTGAAAGTAACTTCTCTTATTTTCACTATTTTAAACTTTGTTTCAAGCTGATTTCTTGTCGTAAAAAGAAAATTATCCCTCCCGAACTTGATTCGCAACGACTGCAGTGCTTCAAATTAGTGGAGCATATCACATTAGAAACTGGATCGCTGAACAAATTCGTTCAGCTTCTCATCCAACAATAAACAATATATCAGACAACAAAGAGAATTGATTTTCTTACTGCTTTATTTGTAAGCCTCTAGTCATTAGCATGTGCATTTCCACTTTGTGCGTCAGGTTTCTCATTTTCTCTTGCTTTTCTTATATCTGAGTTGATGGTTTAGAGAGACCACGTTTGTCATTGGTCAGATTTCTTCTATATCAGGAACTCATTAAGCTGACAATGTGTTGTCAAGTTCATCTGACATTTCATCTAGCATGTTGCTTTTGGAATTTCATCTATTTACTCCTTTTAATTTAAAACTTAGGTTCCATCATTAGATTTTTTGAATTTTCAGTTTACTGATTTCAGAAAATGGACCTCTATGATCAGAGAACAGGAGAAGGACCGTTTGGTTCCTGTGAGTATTGAGCTAGTTTTGAAGTTGCACTCAAAGATTGTTTATGTT